AAAATGAAGTGAAAAAACTACAAGATTTTTCATCTTTGCAGTTCCAGCTTCAGTCAGAGGAGAAAACCAGCCTTATATGTATTCTTAATAAGTAGCGATGCATGTCGCAAACCCAGACATCTGCTGATGGTCAAGACAGGCTCAGGAGATGTTTTTTTCAATCTAAAAAGCTAAGCTGACGCCTTCCACAACAGATCATCAGTTTGGATTGCCACTGGTGCTTGGTGCCATTCACCTGATCCATTGCATGACTGCTCTCAGAGAGTCCTCCATACTGCGTTTCTCTCGGATAATCTCACAGTTCCTTCTCCCACCTTGCTCTCCCTGTTGTCTCCTTGTCGTTTGACGGCGGCTTGCACTGCTTTGCTGCACTTGCTGTGAACCTTGGCATTCAGCCTCTATTCTTTGTCGCTGCTTTTGTTCTGCTGCTGCTAGCACTGCTACCAGCTGTCTAGTCACCTTTTGCCAAAGGCAGGAGGTTTTTCTGCCTTGTAGTCCTGCCCCTTCTGAAACATGTTGATCTCACCCAGATTAATTATTGCCTGGGTCAGTCTCCTTTGTCTCTTCTGCTACCAATTTCCACCTTGCTTCCCATTCGGTCTTTGCTTGGAAGAAAAAATGGGTTTCCTGGGATTTGGATTCTCAGAGCTATGAAGTAGGGGAAGTGCTCTAAGTAGTTAATGTTGCAAGTATTGTCTTCCATGTTCCCAAAAGTTTGTGGGATCTTGGAGGCAAGGAGCTACAAAAGGGTGAAGGGCTGAGCTAACATGCAGGAAGGCGACTAGACCTGCATGGATTTGAACATATTAACCCAGTTCTGGTGCCCACAGCAAGTAGGAGTATCCTCTAAGGGACAGTTTGAAGAAAAAGTTTCCCTGAGCTCTTGTGGGTGACCTTGATGATTAGCCTACTTTCCAAAGCCTTCTGCACATCACTTTTCTGCATCATGCAGGTTGGCTTTTGTGAGTGACATGTTACACTGCATTGGAATGCGATGCATTTGTATTTGTCAGCAAGTTACAAAGCCATGGATTAATTATTTATTACAGTCAAAATATGAAAAATGAAGAAAAATAAATGGAACCAGCTGGCAACTACATGCAGCAAAACTCTGGAGACCCTGGTATACAGCTGATATAGTAGGCTTGTGTTTTGGGGGTGCTGCATTTTAAAGCTATGTTTGCCCATCCAAAAACCCCAGTAGGTTTCTGAGTGGCACACTACCAGTGCAAGACACAGGAGGCTTGCTGTCCACCTGCTCCCTGTCGTCAAAAGATACCCTGCACCAAGCATTTTTTCTGTAGTTTTCGGTCTCTGGGACTTGAATTGTTTCAAGCAGCAAGGTTTGTTTTTTGGCTTTGCTGCAAGGGTCACTATTAGGTAATTAGCCGTGAAGAATCAATGACAGCAGCCAGAGACATAAAGCTGAGGTCCTCACACTTGCAGTCATTAGAGATTTTGTGACACTTTACATAAGGGTAGGGGTCTTGGGCCCTGCTCCTGGCCAAACTCCAGGCCAAGTAATTACATTCTGCCTATCTGAAATTCCCCCTGTAGTGTGAAGTGGGAAAGCAACTCTCATTTCCTTCTCAAGGCGATGGCGGATGCAGAATGTCTGCCGTGGTGCCTGGCTGGATTTTAGCAGGGGGTGGAAACATCCAAGAGCTGCAGTCACTGGCCCACTTTGCTTTGCAGGCTTTGCTAGTGAAAAGTGCACTTTGAGTCAAGCCCTTACCTGCAGCCTTGATGTCAAGGTGACAGTCCTTTGAAGAAGATACAAGTAGCAGTGCTGTAAATAATAGCAGGTACAGCACTGTAACACTGAAACAGGCAGGAGGTTCTTACCTCTGCTTTCTCTCTTCACCGACCCCATCTTTCTCTCTGCTGTGATGGATCTGACGTGTGTACAGTAACTTGTGTCTGATGCTTGAGTATCCTGCTCTTCTAGCTGAGACCGGCAGAACCTGAAAACAAGCTGCCCCTTGCTGCTGTCAAAGCTCCCTGCCACCATGATGGAACTCTTTCTGGGCTGGGGACGCCCCTCTGTCAGACTGAAGGACTTGGAAGAAAATCTTGGCTATCATCACAAGAGGCCTGACCAGGCAAAAGATAATGGATAGATCAATTTCAGCCTTTCCCCCAGTATGGCTTCTTGGAAATGGCAAAGATTTCATTGTGATGGGTTTTGTGTAGTTCACTTGCCGATTACAGGGTTGGGCACACCTTCAGTGAGTGAATCACCCCAAAGCCAGGTATGGTTTCTGTCCTCTGACGGCAGGGTGTGCGCAGTGGGGCAGTTGTTGCAGCGCCATAGAAGATCAGCTGGACACAACTTGGCTCTTGATGTTTAAGGGATTGTTGTTTCTTTTGTGTCAGGTTCTTGCAGTCTATTTGGTATTACTAGCCTGTACCTCACTGTTTAGCTTTAGGTTCAGGACTTTAAAAAGAAACATTCTCATTTTTTCCTCTCTTCCATTACATTTTCCCCGTCAGCCATGTATTAATCCATTTAATCAAATATTTTCCTGTTTCTGAAATGAAAAATGTCTATAGTGGAAGCTCAGTGCACAAGAAATTCCTCCCTGCACATTGATTTATTTGTTATTGTGCTGGGGAGTCATAAAATGTGAGCCCTGTGGAGCTCTGTGACATGGCTGTGTTCTCTGGCAGCATCGGGTGTGACCATATGGACGTGCCAGAGTGCGGATTTTCCTTCACATGCTGGTTGCAGAGCATCCACACTACACCTACATGTTGCTGTGCGTGCAGGCTGAGCTCACCACAGCCGCTTGCTTGGTTTTTAAGGAAATTCAGGTGCGTGTTAAGTGGCTCTTTCTCCCTCCCATTCTGTGCCATGTAGTGTAGTCACGAAGTCCTGCTGTAGGACTAAGGAAAAGACCCATGAGGTTGTTGCTAGCTGGGTACCACAAGGACACCACCTCTGATTTATGGAGTGCCTGAGCCGTGGGTTCCTGGAGGGTGGAAAGGTATGCCAGAAAGCATTATGGTATTTTTGCCCTGTTCTCATCCTCTTCCACCACCATCAGGTGTGGGATCCTGGCTGGACCTTTGATCTGGCCTGGCCTGGCTCTTATGTAGATCTGTTGGAAGACTGCATGCAAAGTAGTCACTTTGCAGCAAGCAGTCCTCATGCTTCTGTGTTTTGCTTCCTGCTCTGCAGAGGTGAGGGTGCCCTGGCTTAACTTTCCATCCCTTGCGAAGTCCCACTGTTCCCAGGCTGATCACTGGCGTTGGACCTTTCTGGAATGTTAGTGCTGCGAAGTGTCTACAGCCACTTCCCGTTGCCAGCCAGGGATTTGGTGTTTGTTACAAGCATGCTGGGGCACAGTAAATCTAATTTCTCTCCCTTCTCCCACTATTTGTCTGCTGTGTCCAAGGTGACTACTCCAGAGAATAACCATTTTGCCTGGCACTTTAATATGGTGCTAATTCATTGTTAATTGCTGGGGCAGAGAAACCTGACTCAGTTGGGAAAATGACGAACCAAGCTGTTGTCTCTGGAGTGTTGGGATGAATAAGCCAGTTCTCTGGAGTAATGAGCCACCACTGCAGCAAAGTACCTACTATTCAGAGAGCGGGGAAACCTTGCCTTTCATTTTCTGCAGATAGATCTGCTGAAGCTGGTAGGTACATACTGGTTTAAGAGCAGTCAGATGTTGAATTTAAAGAAACAGGAATGGGTTTCACATGCTTTCTGATACACTGTTACTTTTGTCACTTTTTTAAAATGACATCCCTCCGCCCTTTTTTCTCAGAAGCTTTGATTTAGACAAATCTGGCAATTTATAATAGTTCAGATCATAAATCATGGAGGAACATTAGTAAATAAAAGAAGGCATAGCAGAAAGCTGTAGGAATGCTCTTTTGTATTGTGTGTTCACTGCAAACATTGTGGTCTCTCTTTAAATATGCAGAAAATAACATACCACAGAAGTAAATGAAATACTAATTTTGTCATTTTGTGAGGGATGGAAGGGAACAAATATTTTAGAAATGACAATGAAATACAAAACAGCAGAACATGGAGCCCTCGTAAAAATGGGTCAAGGCAAGTGGCGATGGCAATCCAATGAAACTAATTTCATATTCTCTTTCTAGAAGTAATAAAGAGGGGAATGAACACCACAGTAGTGCTTCCTAATGAAATATCTGATTCTAAACAACATCTTAGAGTTCATAGGTCACTCAATGCA